ACCGGTGGGCTCAAAGAGCCTGGGGGAGACGACGGCATCAGCCGAGGGGGAGACGAAGCTCCCGTTGACAGAGGCCATGTCGGATGATCTGATTGATCAATTGAGACGGTATAACGGTCTCCAACGGGGTAGGGAAGGAGAGGAGGGAGGAGGAGGAGAAGAGCGGCGACGGCGGAGGGAAAAGAAGAGGAAAGCGAATCCAGGGGAGACGCAACTCTAATTTCGGGGCAGAATTATTGGCGAGGGCAGACAAACTCGCTCTGGATTGGCCGGAACGCCGGACGCTGGCAGTACGGCGACGCAGGAAGCCCCCGATGTGCAGGATCGGCAGAATATTATGATTAAAGTCTTTGTTTTTCCACAGCGCAAAACAGATTTTGAAAATAAACAAGAGTATAATATAGTCAATCGTAGAAATCTAGTATATTACTAGGATCTAGGAACAGCAGGTCAAATGATAATATTTTTCGTGACCGACACCCTGCAATTTGTGGGCTTACGTGGGAATCTTAAGCAAACCCTTGTACGGAGTAAGTAGGAATCAAATCTGCACGGGAGGATGGCTGATGCGGAGGAGACAATTCAACTGCCCCTGGATGATCGCTCGTATCCGCGCGTATTTTCCACGCCGTACATCCGTGTCCCGATTCTGACGAGAATGGCTCGTTTGGCAACATCCCACATGCGCTGCAGCCAATTTGTCAGACGGCGCTTGCCCCTTTGAGCAGTCGCTAGGCAGGTTATGGCTAGCTCAAATCACTAGCACCAGGTACCGATCTTTGTAAAGGTGAGGCGGGTGCCATTCCCGCTCGATAGTCAGAACGGTCCAAACCCATATTAACTGGATGGCAATTGTATTACGAACCCTTGAGATGTCGTGTGTTCGATGTTCCGTCATCTCTTAGATGGTTGTGAAAATAATAGTACAATTTACTAACATGTGGTCCTGGCTGCAATGATGTAGTCATCTCCAGTTTCATGGCCATAGTATGAGGCACGTGCCTGTGGATTAAAATTTCAAGTCACCGTGCTTGCTTCGATTATATATATACTATTCAGGAAGTACTACTACGTAGTGGTAATTCACCACCATTGAATACATTTCAATCTTCCCAAAGTCCAATAAGAACAAAAAGTTACTGTAGCACCAGGGAGCAAGCATTACCATTCTAGACGAAGACAAGCTACATCTTCGTATCCGTACCATTAATTTCACAACAAACTCAGATAATCTAGACCGCATAAAAAGCACAGCGAGACAATCTGCAAACCACAAATTATTAACGCCACATCAGTCACCTCTCCAAACCTTCGGTACAGTGAAAATGAATGCCCGGAGGAGCCGGCCACTAACCAGCCCATAGAATATGAATAACGACGCAGTTTACTGGTAGCCAAGCAATGCAAATTGCTATCGTACCATTTGTTGGACTCTAGAAAGGTGATCCGGCTGTCAAACTTCCGAGTGGATGTTGGCTCGGCTTATCCGGAGAATTGGCCCGTGCGGTTTCCACGGGGAACTGAGCATCTTTGACAGTTGACAATATGATGGGTGGATGTAGTCGGAGACGTCCGGATGATACTCCGCCTATCAGTACAGTGTCGATGATGAAATCGTGACCGTTTCAATGTATTGTATGGGAAGATCTCGTCTCTAAGAGTCTAGACATCTACCCTACTACAAACTGATTGTGCCTCCCAGCCCACCGCCTTTTAGACCGCTTTAAGCGGCAGAACCTAGCGAACCTCGCTGGAAAAATCGCGGAATTAAGCGGATTTAAGAACATACAGATCTGAGAAATTGACTGAGAAAACTGTAACATTAGGCGGTGGCAGAAAAAAAAGTGTCCCTCAGTGCGCCGCTGCCAGGACAATCTCCTTATACACTCTTATGTATATTTTTGAGATCGACATCAGCACAAACTTGGATAAAACAGTAATAGGCCATATGGAATATAAAGTCAAGACTTATTCTGCTAAGCGATTCATTGGTCGCAGTATCATCATCATCAGATTTACTATGTACGCTAGATACACCTGGTGGGTGCTGACATGCAATAGCACATTACACACTATGTCATGGCAATAAAGCCGGTGGAGAGTTAGATACCCTTTCGCAGCCTTAACAATCAGCAGACTACCGACCAAAGCCGAACCAGCCGCGTCGTCCACCCTTCTTCTCTTCCGGTTGTGGTTCCGGTTGAGCCTGAGCCCTGTCTGCAGTAGGGGCGCCTTGGCGAGGGTAGTCAATGTAGTTCCAAGCCACATCGAGGAACAAAGGCTTCACTGGGATCGGCTGCATCTGAGGGGGATAAGGAACAATGTTGGCCAAATCCAGAGCATCACCGGCGTAATCGTGTAGACGTTCAATTGCGGGGCGCTGAGGTACGGATTTCGACTGTGCTTCAGCGGAAATGTTCTCCAGAGTCACCAAACCGCGATATTGCGCAACAAGGCCCTTCAAGGTGGATTCCAGGGTCTGGACCTGGCTACGGGAGATATCCAGCCTCGGTGGCCCTTCCGTTTCAGTCAAGGATTGCGGCGACCGTGCGGTCTCCGTGACAAGGGCCAAAGCCTGCGCGAACAGGGCGAGGGCATTGGTGGCCTTGCCCAGAATTCCGTGCGATCTTCCAATGGTCAGACATCTAAGAAGTCTCCAGTTAGCATGTTACGTTGTTACTGAAGGGCTGCGCTGCTGTACCTTAGAGCACGGAAATACCGCCGCTTGGCATCTAACTCCCGAACAAACGCCGTATCCGCCGCAACTCCGGGAAGCTCAAGAATGAATTCGATACTTTGAAGGGTAGAATCGTACAGGACGACTCTTTCGCGCAGCCGTGCCAGCTTCTTACCGGTGGCATCATCAGAAGCCTTGGCACCCTTGGGTAGCTTGGTCGGGACAAATTCGAAAGCAACGCCGTCGTTGTCTCCGCAAAGAACACGGTTCCGTCCTATTCTCCACCCAACCAGATCATAGTTGACAGCAGTCCGCGTTATTTGCAGAGCCTGCATTCTCTTATCACTCGGGTCAACTCCCTCTCCAGCGAGGTCATCGATCGCAGTCTTTGTAGCATCGACGGCATCTTGACTGGCGATGATAACATTATCGTAGGCAGCGGCTTTATCTTTCGAAGAGGCATTCTTACCCTCGTCTTCCGCAAGCCACGTACTAAGACGAGACTCAGCTGCCGCTGCGGACGCGAGAGCCTGTGAGATTGCGGCATCTTCCAAACCAACTGTATGCGATCTCCATGTGATGCTTCCAGGGAGTTGCTGCACCTCCCCGTCAGCGGTCCTCCGTGTGCCCGCTGCATCCTCCTTCAGACAGTTAGGGTCCAACTTCTCAACCTCGGACCTAATGGTCGCGTCCGATGGGAAATAGCTAAGAGCCAAAGACGGGATGGGCTTTGACCGCGGAAGCTTCAGTTGATATGCTGCGTATCTTATACTGGGGTCGACAGTGCCGGAAAGAAGGTCTCGGAAGGCGTCCTTCTTGACTTGCTGACCCAGCGCTGCATAGACGACTCTGGATACGGAGTAGTTTTGGAGACACTGCTCCCAATTGCGCTTCTCCAAGAAGAATGCCCCCAAGAGGGATGCCAGGTATGCACGAGCTTCGAGGACATCAGTGTCCGTAGCCCCAGAAGTTTCCTGATCCTCAAGAACGAGCACCAATTGCTTCGCATATGTAACCGCCTTCCGGAGTTTCGAAATAATGTGACCCCTGGTCGTACCGCTAATTCCCTTGGCCGAAGGGTCTGCCGAGTGAGTAGTCTTCATGTGCATTGCGTTCGCCCATGCCCGTTCGGCGCTGATGAGTAGGGTGTGAACATATCTAAGATACTCGGAGTGTTAGTACAATTCTTATAGCGGTATCAGCCATAGCATTGTTCGTAGAAAGACGTCAAACATGATTTAGGAACATACTCCACATTGCTGTTCACATCTTCCGCCGTCACAGGTCGTTTGGCAATGTACTTGCTGCGTTTGGGGGTTGTCTGTCCAAGTCGCTGGCGGGCGCTGTGCAACTTGCGGGTCGTGTGCGCTCGATAAGCGTTGTAGTTTCCCGTCAAGAGACTCTCCTCCCTCTGGGAGAAAATAAAATCGGTGATCTCCATTTTGCCAGCAATATTTGACGACTGGGGGAGCTCGGGGCGATGGTGGTGTTCCCACCCGAATGAGTGCGGGCTGAGGTGGTCAGGACTCGGCCAAACAAATCCCCGGCTGATTTCGCGGGATTCTCTTTTCCAGCATCGGGAAAGCTTGCTGCTCGGCCATCTCGAAAATTATCCCACGTCAACCTCCCCGGCCATCAAACCACACCCCTTGGCTTTCTTGCTTGGAGCCGTCGGTTCTGTCTTCTCTGAAGCCGGGTCCTCTCTCAAATCTCTCCAGGAGGAGCAGCCATCTAACGGCAGGCTGTGAGCTTCGTGCACAAGATTGCTTTGCGTGGTATGGCCTGACTCCCTTAGCACTCTGCACATTCCTGCACGCCCAGCTCGCTGACCTCAATTGGCATCGAATACAGTTTGATCCCGATATGTTATGCATCGCAGTCAAGTTTCGGTGAAATTCAGGGTTTGGCACCGCAATTTCTCGAGGTAATGCTGGAACGGGCTGCCGGATGTCTTGAGAACGCGGGACGGCGTTTCTTCCGGGATCCCAATGGCGCCATTCGAGGTCGGGGTTCGATCTATTCAACTCTTGGGCAGTTCAGTAGCGTGGGGGCGGAGCTTTTGGTTTTTCTGCAGGCACCGCAAAGATCCGCGTCGAATACTTCAACCGCCACCTCGACAACCGGAAGGACAGCCACGGACCCGCGGGCCCCCGTTCTCGAGTTTCTCTATCCCCCCCGCACACAGGAGTTTATAGCGACATGCTCGATACGTTCGCCAAGAAGGATTGTCCCGCGACGGAGAAGGAAGGCCGTCCCTGGCGTTTCCAGGAATTACTCGTCAGAGGCTGTTAGCCTAGACCGCAGGGTGGATGCTGAGGCTCACATGCTTGACGACTCTGCCGAAATAATTGCTGATGAGGACCGCGACACTGCCAAGACCGAACTTAGAGCGTTACTGGATAAGGAGGAGATCGAAGATTCCGATAAATTATGGAGCCTTTTCTCAAAGGCTGGTCACCCTCTCGACCTGACTTCTGCATTGCTGGCGAGACTATGCAGCTCTGATCGTGACGTTGATAACAGAAGAGCCAGGCGACTTCTCAACTCCCTGCCTATCGAGTCCCGAACTTCTGAGGATTATTTGCACATGACCAAGTCCTGTATTGCTACGGGGAATATTTCGGATGTGGATGGGATATGTCAGGAAGCAATCTCATACAGCCGCGGCGTCTTATGTTGGGCATACTGTTTTGCACAGTTTGTGAACTCTGAACAATGGGATTATGTGCAAGATATTTGGAGATCGAGGCCGTTGGGCGACAAGTCGCTGTGGCACACTGTCGCCCCTTGGCTACAGGTGTCTTCCGTGCATAAGCCTTTGTTAGCACTTGCTGATTACTTACAAGACCAGAGTCTCGACAGTCCAGTACGTCTTGCTGCTCGCTTCATACTCAATAATGTATTTTCTAGCACGGAGTTTGCCGAAGCTACTGCGACGGAGACCCTTCTAGCACTACTGCAAAAGTTCAACCATCTGGACTTGATCACTTCGCGGAATTATCTTGATCTTATCAACACCCTTCAAGAATCAGAGCACCGATCGACGTTTGTTCGATCTATCGTGGTTTATCGGAATTTCCGTTGGCAGATGGAGGAAGAGATTCCACCCCGAAAGCTTCTGGCTAAGCTGTTGAAGCGTCTCGCTTCTTTCGAGATCACGACCGGTATCTTGTACTTCCTCGATGAGATTTCTCACTTCCATCGCAAACCGACAGAGGACGTCTACAGGCAGGCGCTTATTGTTTTTTCGAGAGCCGGTGATGTGGATAATGTCCGGCATGTATTCGACAGATTCCTTTCGGACCACGGAAAGCCGCGAAGCCGCAAAATTGTGGCTCCACTTCTCTATGTCTACGCCAGAATTGGCGATGTTGAACAGACCACGCGTCAGTTCCGAAGAATTTCGGAGGAGTTTAACCTTCAACCGAATGACATATGTTGGAATATCCTGCTTACAGCTTATTCCAAAGCGGGAGATCTTTCAGGGACCTTCACCATGTTCAAGAAGATGATGGAAGAGGGTGTTGAGCCCAGCTCGCACACTTTTGGTATAATGATGGGTCTTTGTGCTAACCGAGGCGATGTCACTCATGTCCGTGATTTGCTCAGTCTAGCCCAACGACATAACGTGCAGATAACAACCCCCATGATTGATACAGTTGTGGAGGCTTATTGCAACAACTCAGAGTGGGAGATGGCTGAGCACGTTGCAGAGACTTGCCTCGGCCTCGACGTCAAGGGTTCCCGCGTAAGAATGTGGAATATCCTGCTCTGGAATTATGCTTTCCGGATGGACCTGGAAGCTATATCAAGGATACGCTCGCGGATGGACGCCTCAGGACTAGAACCCGATGATATGACCTATTCTGCTCTTATGCTCAGTCTTGTGCTCATAGGCCAGACGGATTCTGCCCGTCGCATCCTGAGGGCACTTCACCGAGGCCGCCGCGTTTACGCAACTGAATTCCATTACGCAGTCATTCTGTATGGCTATCTGAAGGACCGCAATCGGGACATGGTGCACATCATCTTCCGCGAAATCAAAGACAGATTCAACCAACCGGGACTTGGCTCGAGGCTCCTTGTGCTCAAGAGTCAGATCCAGCGAGATCTGCAACTTTTGGCACAGGGTGGTCAGGTCGGCAACCACGCGAATATTCGTCTCGAAAATTCCGAGAAATTCCTTGCAGAGACTCTTGCAGATTACCACTCTACCAAGTTGGCGACGAAGTACCCCTTGCTGGGTTCTGGTAGGATGTCTGCCAGGAAGGGATTCCCTGCTGTTTACTACGAATATATGATCTCTGCCTATGGTATGAAGGGGGCTTATCTGTCGGCTCGGAGGCTTTTCGATGACTATACCGCTAGTCATCCACCCAAAGACTCTGATGAAGAGAATTACCATGACATCGCGCCTCTTCGTTTGCTGTCTGCTTTGATGCTCGCGCATCTGAAGGCTGAACAGTACCAACAGGTGGAGGAATGCTGGAACCTGGCTTTCACTCGTGCATTGAAGATAGCCAGTCCCACTTCTCCTGAGATTGATGATTGGCTTAGTCGTCAACTCAACCCAAGTACACCGCCCTTACCATCTCATGCCGAGCTCTTGGTGAATTCCGACGACTCCCAAGCTACGCCATCCGAGTCAGCTACGACAAAGAAGGACCCGATTCTACCGGCGTACCGCTTCATGCTATCTCGCCCTCTTTCACTGTATCTGCGTTCTTTGGCTTATGGAAACGAGGTTTCGAAGATCTCCGAGGTCATAGCAAAGTATGTGGAGGCAGGCTTCTCCATGACAACCTTCAATTGGTCCACTTTTGTGCAGATGCTTGCGTCCTCCGACAGGTTGTCTGATCAGATTGAAGCTTTCACTGTCTTTGAACATAAGTTCATGCCCAACTTCCCTGGATGGGATAATCTTCGTCGAGGATATGGTGCACGACCTCCGGGGGTGCCTTCAACCATTGATGCGATGGAGAATCCTAAACGGGCAAAGCCACCTAATGTACTGGGCAGATTGGGCCGGCGCTACTGGAGCAAGATCCAGCCGGACTTCATGCAGCCCACGTACGTGTCCATGGTATATCTGGCTGCTGCATTGAGGCGACTTCGCGAACGGAGCATTCACGAGGGAGGCACGGATCTTCAAGCTATATACGATGCGGCGCCTAAGACGATCGCAGCAGTTGCTAGACTTCCTTACCTCCGTGAGAAGTTCCAGGGTGTGCTCCTCCGGCGTCGGCAGGAGAAAGGCGAGATGGTTGATGAACTTGGACGTGATCGTTATGTGTGGACAGGCGGTATTCTTGGTGTGGGCGGCCTGACTAGGTCTAAGTCACGGAATGAACCGACTGCTGAAAAGGCGGGACAAGACAGTAGCAATATTCGAGTTGAAGCACGAGATACCACTTCTGAGCCAACTGATGAGCCTCCAATCAATGTTGGTATCTCCGAGTTGGACGATGATGAGCAAGATTCCGATGTTGCACCCTCGCCGTTCAGAAATACCCTCGACTACCCTGATGAATATGACATGGAGGCCGAGACGCTGCTCGAGGAAAGAGACAAGGAACTCGGAACGAAGGAGGAATTGATGGACGATGAAAGTCTCGTGGAAGATGAAGAAGATGAGTTCGACGATCTGGAGGAGGACATGGAGGTCGAAGAAGAAGGAGAGAATGAAGAAGAGGAAGAAGAATGGGTGGCAGAGGAGGCAGAAGAAGGAGAAGATGTTTCTGATGCCGAAGAACAGGACATATATGAGCCCCAAAACGAGGGACAAACCCCTCTAGGCGAGGGTGAGACTCGTTGAGTTGAAAGTGTATTTCTAGGATGTACCCCAAACGGGGTGTGGTGTTCAAGTTGGGCGAGTATGTATATATGTATAAAGAGATCTGAATGTATAGTAGTATAGTCAAAGCATAGCACCTGATCATTATTGAAATTGTACACTATTGATGAAGAGTTCCGTGACAGCTTGGTTTCATTCTTTGCCCTCAATTCTGCTTTGAGCCTAATTGCAAATCACCGTCAACTAGTCCTGGAATACTCAACATCGATTTCCCTCTATTTTTCACTGTATCATTCTAGGGAGCTACTAACTTGATTGCAAGCCACATCAGGTGACGGCAAATTTGTGCGAAGTGCGATAGTTCCATGTCAGCGCTAACAACAGGCTCAAGTGCACACTGGCATGTTATCCAGTCGATAACCTAACCCAGATGAATTGACCTTCACATGTTACGTATTTCCTCAAGCATGCGAGTCAGCAGTCAGTGGGGGCCAAAAAGCGGGGATCCGTGAAGGAAGGAGGCTTATAGTAATTGAACTAACCCTCTTTGACCTTAGGGACTGACTCTTGCCCTACTGCTAGTAGCCATTGAGGCTGTTCCATTATCCCGGAATTTCTCCGTCTATCCATCTAGACCAGAAGCTTATCCTTTTTAGACTCATAAAGCCGTGTCACCAGACACAAATCAGCACATGTCCACCGGCCATCATCATGCTTTGGGACTAGATACTGTATCTTTAGGCACAAGGGAGATATGAGCTTTTTCCGGATTGGTAATCAGGGCCGTACCTTCCAATTGTCGGTTTCCCAAACTGGGACTTGTGTATCGCTTCAGATTTGTCTACTCAGGTCAATTCCTTTTTCTCCTTCGGCATTCACAGGCTGTTTGATCTACGATAACATCGTGATCTGCAATATCATGATTGGTTGCCCTTAGGCCAACTTATATTAGCTAACGTGAGTAGAATGTAGAAGAAACGCAGCAAATTCGATAAATACAGCCTTTCATAAGGTGGAGAATGCTCTTCTCTTATCTTTCCTCGCTGGTAAAGATGACAGCAGGAATCCTCTCGTCAGATCCTGCTATACAAATCAAGCTAGCTAGTTGATCCTTTGCTTCGCTAGCGCGAACAAAACCATTTGAAGAGCCTTCTGATGTACACCTCCGAAGATTAGAGACTTTTATGCGAGTATTGGCAGGACTTGTGTCCGCCAGGCTGCAAAGGTATATAAAGGGCCCAAGTCACTGAGTCTTCCTGTATTCTTCATCAACTCATCGCTCACATCTCTCACTGTCCTTGCCTCATTCTTTCCAGCACTTATCACCAGGTATGGAAGCGTCACTTCCAATGTGCCCTAATTCTTTGAACAAGTACTGATTTAGAAACGCTCTGTAGTGTGCATGAACCTCCTGCAACTTACTTGTCTCCTCATAATCGACCTCTGTGCTCTGTATCACCGCTACACCGACGGAGAATGGTCAAGTTCAGCAAGGTCCTGTGTGGCGTTCTCGCATGCGGGTTTATTGATCCATGTGTTGCTGGAGACAATGAAACAACATATGAAGTGATCACCACACCAATCGTTGCAGACTGGGACGATGGCCTTGGCAACATGACTGCAACATTGAAGGTCATCAACGCCGACTACGCCTGGCAATGGGCGAATGTCACATCCGACACGACAGACTTGGAGAAAAGAACGGGCATCACGATCCAGAAAATCGTGACTACCGCGAAAGTCGCATCCCACGTGATCTTCACAGTCAAGGCCGGGCTTGAAATTTGGGAGTTTTTGGCTGGTCTCATCAAGTCGAAGTCGGATGCGGACTCGTGCACCTTGACCTACGGTACAGATGTCAGTGGGGAGAAGGTGCTGGGATATGCGTACAAGGCGACGACGACCGGGTCAAACTGTGATACGACCGCTGAGAAAAAGACAATCCTGGCCGCTGTCGAGAAATGTGTGACTACTCTGCACAACAGTGGTACCACTGTGGGTTGCTGTCAGTTCAGTCATGGAGGCACTTGGCGGGGGCATTTGCGGTTGAGCGCTGAACCCAGCGTTTACCCGGTACATACTGTAGATTGCTGAGATTAGAGTAGGGTCAGATGGAGGATACAACGACCGGATACTGAGGAGTCCAACTTAGGTCGATGTGAATGTTGTACTAGTTCAAGATGAGACGCAGTCATCCCTGTTTTGTTACTAATATGCTGAAGAAACGAAGTCCTAAGACAAAACTGTGCGCGAACTTTACCTTTGTTTGAGGAAGATATGCTACTTCGTCCTTAGAATACCTCAAAAACCTGTATTCTTATTATGCTCAGCTACAAGCAACTACTTAATAGTGATACGAGGTTTATTATTTCTCGAGCACAGAGCATATTCTGGAAATACGAAACGCGCAAGTAAAGACGATCTTGTTATCCCTTAGAGGAACGCTTTTCTCCCCTTCAACAACCACCTCAGGATTGACTGCAATGTATTCTCGATTGAAAGACCCTTATCCTCTTCCATTTATCACACACCTACTCAGTATTAGTATTTCGTTCATCCTCGACACCTACTTCCCCCTCAACCCAACCAACAACGTTCTCACACGCTTGCTTAAGCTCCCGTTTATACTGCAACAGAAACCCCTGGACATCAGCAATACTGAACCGACCCTCCGGCGGACTTTTCGAAAACTGCTCCGCAAGTTTTTCCAGTTTTTCTTTCTCATTCTCGAACGCTTGCTTTTCCTGATCACCCTGACGGTCACAGCTGTATAGACTTAAGAGCAAGTTCTTCAGCTCCTCGCGAGACGGAAGCTCAAATCGTATATGCAAGTCCATGCGTCGTCCCGGACGTATCAATGCGCGGTCTAGTTGCTGCGGCGCGTTGGTTGTCATGATCAGAATGCGGCCCTCGTGGGAAGAGACGCCGTCGATTGCGTTGAGTAAACCAGATAGTGAGATTTCGGACGCATTTGCCGTATATGAGATTGGTTCTGGTGCTCTCACTTGTTCTATTGCTTTTGGTGTATCATCTGGATAGGTACTATTGTGTTGGTGGTAGTAGGGATCATGGGTTCATTTCTGTTCAGGCCTGCGGCGTCAACATCTTCCAACAACACGACACACTGAGTCGGGCTATCCGAGAACATGTGGATAAATCCTGACTCCTTCATCGTTGGATCTTGCTAGCTTAGGACGTAGATGTCTAGACCGAAGCCTCCGGCGAGGGCGGACACAAGGCTAGTCTTACCTGTGCCTGGAGGTCCAGAAAAGAGGTAACCGCGTCGATAGGGGATGCCGTGGTTGGCGTACCACTGTCTGGTTTGGGGGGAGAGGTATTCGGATATATCTTGGAGGATCCTTTGTTTTTTGTTCTCGTTCAGGATGATGGTGGAGATATCTCGGAGTGGGCGAGTCGCGATGGGCTTCCAGCGGATATCCCGATGGAATGGTTGGGTGCGGTAAATTGAGATGGTGGTTTCGGAGACCTTGCAAGAATAGGCACGGGCTTCTTCGAGGAAGGATCTGAGTGGTGAGAGGGATAGGCTGAGACATCGTAGGGTCAAGTGGGTATGTCTTCCCTGTCCATCAGGGGGTCGGAGTAATTGAGGCTGTTGGATCTATGATAGAAGTAAATCCATTTCTGGTTGAAGCGAGAGAGTCGAGACCCATGGAATGGCTTCAGTTCGATTGACGATCGTCTGGCATCCTCTTTGCAGGGAAAGAACATTCCATTAGTGTGATGATTTCCTGCATTCATGAAAGTCCCGAGATTCTTCTTGCATTGGAATTGTTTGCGGTGTGTGCTAGGGCGGAGAGGAAATTGCGATGCTGGAATACATGGTCTGCCATCCAGCGGATGATGTCGTGATAGAGAGGATCATCGACTTTTACATGAAAGGTTGACAGACATGTCTTTGCGGCGTAGCCGTAGACGATATTTCCAGTCGAGCGGAGGGAGGTTATGATCCCAATTACAAGGAGTCCAAAGTTCACCACAATGAGAGGATCGAGATGCAGAGTGTTGCGCATCATATACAGAAATGGACTGATTATATCGGCGCCTGTAAGATGATCTGATGATGCCAATCCATCATGACCGTGTGTGTCTCCTGGGGTTTTTGCATGAAGAAGCTTCAACTCTGCTTGGGGTGCTTTTTTTCTACATATCATGCTGGTCTGTAACAGAATGCTATTGTTGTTGAAGAGGCAGGTAACTACCGACGACCGACAAAATATACACGTCTGAGTGAATGAAATACCAAAGCAACAGTGAATCGTCAGCCTTTGGATCCCATGGTAGGGCTGGTCTAGAACTCAGACTGCCGACTTCGAAGTCAATAAGTAGCTGCAATATCATCCCGGAAGGCTGATCGCACCTGCTCTATGCTATTGTGTAGATGTGAACTCAAACCATACCGATCCAGCCGAGTGCTATACTCCACCGTTAGTAGTCAGGACACGGTTCCATATCCTTCTGCATGCTCAGTGGTATAACTTGCTTCTTGAACCCCGTCTTTTCTCAGGATCATCTTCTCCCATATTTCTCTTATACACCTTCACCAATTTCCCATCTATCACTACACCAAATTTTCCTAGGGTCACCAACATGGGCACCAAAGGGGTTTTCCAGTGCGCTAACAACGAGGCTCTACTGGAAATTAGCCCAGGAAGCTGGATACGCTTGGTCATTCGTGCTGGGAAGTACTGGTACCTCAACTGCACGTCTGTTCTCCGGCAAGTTGATCATTCCATCTAAACATGCCTCGACGATTTCTAAACTGACGACGAGGCGTTTTATCCGACTGATGTCGCTTACCCACACGGCGATTGCGTTTTACCCGCTGGTGTGGAAATTGAACTGTATGAGCAGGTGGCTCTTATCAGGATGCTGTTGTTGTTCTTAAAGATGGCAGTACTGGAAAGGGATACATTGGTCTCGCTTTGTGCTTGTACTTATGAAGATTGAGGGGCAATTGCAGTTGAGGGTAATTTCTCATTTTTCCATAACCTCCTACTTATTTTCGATAGGCCTTCTGTCCTACCTTGCCACGACGGATTCAAGGTTGTGTCTGTTGTGGGCTGGTGGCCATATCTAGCTAACTAGTCCCCCAATGGCATATCAGACTAATAATTTACCTTCTTCACCCCATAACCTTACCAGTGCCCTATGGTACGTTATATTCATCGCGTAGAGCCGAGCTACCGGTCGGCCTGCGGGATGGGTCTCCTACCTGATGCTCACAAAGTCAACCTATTGAGGCAAGTGAAGCCGAATCTCCGACTGGCAATGACCGAAGACCGAGGTTGTTTGACCCGAAATCTCGGCTCTCGGGGACTTGATCAGCCACTCACAGGTGGTCAAGTGTTTCGATTTTTCAGAATCTCGCATTTAAGCTCAATGATAAGATAAGATTCTCGGGAATTTGCGCAGGCACGGAGACTTTCAACCTTCTATGCCAGACACGCTACTCAATGATCGACATCCCATGATGCAGGCCGCGAGATTAATAACTAGAGACATACGTAAGTGTCTTGGTTGTGCCGAATAGTAAGGGTTCAAAGCTTCGATTTAAGTGAGCCACCCCTGTAGGATCCAATGGTATAATAATGTCGTGAGTCTCAGTTCTGTCTACTCTGTTTCCACAATTGCAATCATTGAATTTCTTTTGTTCTATATCCTATCGCTCTTTCTAGGGTTAAAGACCCGTCCCTTCTCTTCACTTGCAATGCACAGCCTGGCTGCTGCCATTCTTGTCGGTGTCGCATCTGCGGCATCGCTGAACAGTGTGTGTACGACCGACTATGTCACGTCCGTTCTGCCCACTGCTAGCGATGACATTCCATCTGGAATCACCATCGATACCAGCTCTGTATCTGCCAGTATCTATCGCAATTATTCCCTCACCGATTCTATTTTCTGGGAGGACTTGACCATCAACTTCTGCGAAGTATCTTTTGCCTACAGCCACCAGAACGGTGACGACCGCGTAGTTGTCCAGTATTGGATGCCGAGCCCAGACACATTCCAGAACAGATTTCTCGCTACAGGTGGTTCCGCGTATGAGATCAACAACGGCTCAGGAGGAGGTGATATCGCTGGAGGAGTCGCCTTTGGGGCCGCCACTGGCTATACTGACGGCGGCTTCCCTTACTGGGGTGGCACTGACTTCGACGATGTTGTCATTCTCGGAAATGGGACTGCCAATTGGCCTGCCATCTACAACTGGGGATATCAGGCCATCGCCGAGATGACCCAAATTGGAAAGGCCTTTACCAATAACTTCTTCAACGTCGGGAGTAACGCTACCAAGTTGTACACCTACTTCATCGGTTGCTCTGAAGGTGGACGTGAGGCCATAAGTCAAGCCCAGCGTGCCCCAGAATTATACGATGGCATCGTTGCGGGTGCCCCTGCTATGCGCTACGGCCAGCAGCAGGTGAACCACATCGCTCCTCCCATCCAGATTCAGACCATTGGCTATTATCCGCCTTCTTGCGTGTTCGATACGGTGATTAACGCAACTATCAATGCCTGTGATGGCATGGATGGCAAAGTTGATGGGGTAGTTGCTCGTAGCGATCTCTGTTTCCAGAATTTCAACGTCTCCTCAATGCTGGGTAAGTCTTACTACTGCGAGGCTGGTTCGACCAGCAGCCTTGGCTTGGGATACGGAAAGAGGAGCAAGAGACAGACGACCTCAGCCACTCCCGCGCAGAATGGAACTATCAATGCCAAAGATATCGAGGTGATTGAGGATCTCCTGACTGGACTGGTATGAACCATTTCCTAACACCTGCGTTCCTTTGCCTTCAGACTGCTGACCTGGTTCTCAAACAACAGAAAGATTCGAACGGTGACCTCGTATACTTTCCTTTCCAGCCTGCTGCCGGCTTTGGAGACACCACTGTCTACGACAGCACCACGGATTCTTGGACGATCACTTCTCCTAACTCCAACGGAGAATGGATTACCAAGTTCCTAAACTGGCAAAATGTCACAGAATTGGACATGTGGGGAGTCACCAACGATGACCTAAAGGCATGGATGATCGAAGGAATGACCAAATACATGGACTCTCTTCAGACCACGCTTCCTGACCTGACCCCCTTTCACTCCAAGGGAGGCCGTCTGCTTCACTACCATGGGGAGGCCGATAGCAGTGTGCCCCCGACCGGATCGATTCACTACCACGAATCGGTTCGCAAGATCATGTACCCTGAACTCTCTTTTGCTGATGGTAATGAGAAACTCAACGACTGGTATCGGTTCTATCTTGTCCCTGGTGCAGCCCACTGCGCGACCAACGATGAGCAACCCAATGCTGGCTTCCCTCGGGACAATTTTGCCCACATGGTCAAGTGGGTGGAAGAAGGTGTGGTGCCTACTACCATCAATGCCACCGTTACTTCTGGAGAGCATGCGGGCGAGGTCCAAGAGCTTTGCACTTGGCCGTCGCGCCCATACTGGACTGACAACAACACCATGATTTGCGAACAGAACGCAACCTCTATCCAGGCCATGCTCTGGAAGTTGACCGCTTACCTTACGCCTATCTATTAGGGAGCCAACCGAAGAGGTAGCCAATGATGACATGTGCGTGTTCTGAGGTTTTCTAGGACCGGATCCAACTTCGTACGGAATGGCGATGGAGATGACGCATTTTATCCATTCAAATTCACTTCGTTTCAATCTGTATTATAAAAACTGTGAAAGATCTGACCTTGTTACCTATTCTCTTCTTCAATCTCAGCACATATAACCTATCTTGCTAACAAATTACAACTACGAAGTTAGTCATGAGGCCGCCTTGATGGAAGTTTTTGGATGTCACTTGCATGTGTGACATCAGACGCACTATTAGCTTGGCTCTCATGAAAGAATCTTGCTTGGCTAAGCCCAGTCAAGGACAAGCCTTAATCCCAAAGCCGACGGAGATCGGATGTTACAATTGCCTCCGACCTCCGAAACGTCCAGCCGCACGAATACCAACAGCTTTACACTACGTATCTACACTAGGCCACACTCATCCATGCTCCGGATGGGGCTGGGTAATTTCCATTTGTCCGTTCGTTGCCCCCAGTCAATGTGGGGAAGTCTCCGCATGACTTTCATGCTCTGGGGTATGCGGGAATGGCACGACTCTCGAAATTCCATGCTATGGCTTCAGTCCGCTTGCATTTAGTGTTGAAGCTATGCTAGTCCGAGTAAGAAAAAGCGAGAAAGGTGCCCAATGACCAGGATTTCACGGAGCACGGCTATCTCGAGTCGGTCATAGACACCAAAACTGGGTAGTGATGTCGTTGGCCTCGCAATGGGTTGATTTCGAAAATTTTCTGACTTGGTTTTTTGGCTTATATAAAGGGCAACTCTACTGCACCAGAGGGAGTCAGAGTTGTATGCCAAAGAACAAGTTGGAGCGCTAAAGTTAAAAAACCATGCTCGTTGCTACACTTCTCAGCCTGTCAGCAGTGGCTGCCGCTCTTCCAGCAATCAATTACGATGGTCCGTTACCTTTTCTGTCCCAACCCAATGTTCTACACTAACTCTTCACCCTGCCCATAGCCCTCCCAACCACGGGGACTGTGATAAATTTAGATATTACTGCCTTGAACGAGACTTATACTGTTCAAGAGAACGACACTCTGTCTGCCATTGCCGCCAAATACGGCGTGGGAACCTGTGATCTCGCCAGGTTGAATATCCTTGCTGATCCCAACTTCATCTATGCTGGCGAGGTGCTTCGCATCCCTGCTCAACCGACCTTCCCAGATGATATGAGTTGCTTCAGCACCAACAACACCGAGGCCACCAACACCTGTATCGATAGTGGTCCACACGTCTATACAATCATGCCTGGAGATACCATTCAGAAAATTGCCAACGAACGATTTAACATCACGGTCGAGTCCGTCATAAATCAGACCGCTCAAACTGGGTATATTGCCGCCTTGAACCCTGGCCCTTATGATATCCTTCAGACGGGCGAGACAGTGAAGATTCCCATCTGTGACAATACTGCATGTACCATGACACAGTTTACTCTGGGCTATGGCACCCTGCAAGACTTTGCTACTTACTATGGGATCGCCGTGGGACAGATTATGGCGTTGAACTTGGGCTATAATCATTCGGAAGCTGCGGTTCCTTTAGGAGTGCTTTATGATTGTAGCGCTGTGGATGAAGCTTGAGAGATGTTTCTTTTTCTTGTAAAAATATGCAAGTATTTTGGAAGTAAAGGAAGATATTAGGAGGAATATACAAAGGTATTACTAGTGCTGTTGTACGGCGTAGTTAATTGTTAGAGCGCCAGTCCTAGTATGCATGTATTATATATATGCATTCGTTATGTGTAGCTGACTCATCTGATACACTGACACGGTAGCACGCGTCCTTCTGGCGGACGCGCTCCAATATTACCCGATTGAGCTGTCGCGTATGGCAACCTGAAAGATCCTCCCGGCAACCCACCCTTTCTTCCCCATCAACGAGCATCAAAAATCACCTCGACATTTCTCCCCGCTTGCTTTTCTCCCACTGGACCCCACCCTTCTAGCTACTTTCTGTTTCCACGCTTCATTGCAAATTCTCCCAAGATACCCCTTATTTTCTTCTTTACTAGCAGTCCGTGGGAAAGTCCGCCGCCATGGAGGGACAGTTTGACGACGCCGCGCAGGATCGAGTGCGTGCCGCCGTCGAGTTTCTTGACCCCAGTAAGCCCGGACAGACTTGCTCCAATGGGTTGCAATATGCTAACTCGATTCTAATATAGGTGATGCGAGAGCGCGCAGGTCCGTTGCTCATCAACCTTCCCTTAACAACTATAGAAGACCACGCTATGGCAGACACTAACCAGCGACTAGTTACCGGGCTGATATCTTGTTGATGTTGAATCGGGGATTGCGTCGATTGATAGTATGCATATAACCTCATACATTGGACATAGAATAAGGGTTCCGGAAGCTAATGCCATACGTTGCGCAGGTTAGCATCGACGAGATCCGAGCGCATAACCGTGAGATGGCCGATGGGTAGGAAACAATCGCTCCCCCATACGAACGCCTTGGCTAATCGCTTACAGCCTTCTCACGTCGCCATATGAATACTCTGATGCCTTCGAAAAGGCCCTCAAAGAGATCATCAAGACTTTGCCGAATAGGCCATCGAGGGAAACGGGAGACGATGTGGTATGGGAAACAGGGCACCTCCACGATGCTCGTTTGACTTCTAACAGTATCTAGAACTACCATTGCGGGTTTGTTGGTGCATTCGGAGAATATTCCTGCAACCCTAGGACGCTCGGTTCCTCCCACCTGAACCGAATGATCTCCCTCGAGGGTATCGTCACGAAGTGCTCTTTGGTCCGGCCCAAGATTATTCAGAGTGTGCATTGGAGCGAGCGCGGTCAGAAGTTTCTTACAAGGAAGTACATTGATGCGACAATGACGGCTAGTGGTGCCACTAGCATGAGCATCTATCCCCAGGAAGACGAAGAGAAGAACCCGGTATGTCTGTTTGATAGAGTACCAATATCCTGAGGCTAACACTTTTCCTCATATTAGCTTGTCACAGAATACGGTTTCTCCACGTATATGGACCACCAGACTATCTCGATTCAAGAAATGCCTGAGAGAGCCCCGGCTGGCCAGCTGCCTCGGAGTGTGGATGTGATTGTTGACGATGATCTGGTTGACCGCGCTAAGCCCGGAGACAGAATCCAGTTGGTCGGAGTTTACCGCTCTCTAGGTAATAGAAACGCTTCGTCTACGTCTGCTACATTCCGCACGCTTGTCCTTGCGAATAACATTATCCAATTGTCTTCAAAGTCCGGTGGAGGAATCGCACAGGCCACCATTACCGATACCGACATCCGCAACATCAATAAGGTCTCCAAGAAGAAGGGTGTTTTTGAACTCTTGTCGCACTCGCTCGCGCCCAGTATCTACGGACATGACTACATCAAGAAGGCCATCCTGCTCATGCTGCTCGGTGGTATGGAGAAGAACCTGGACAACGGCACTCATTTGCGTGGTGATATCAACATTCTCATGGTCGGTGACCCTTCGACCGCCAAGTCTCAACTGCTTCGTTTCGTTTTGAACACCGCCCCGCTTGCAATTGCCACGACAGGTCGAGGATCTTCTGGTGTCGGTCTTACGGCTGCCGTCACGTCTGACAAGGAAACTGGCGAGCGAAGACTTGAAGCTGGTGCCATGGTTCTGGGTGATCGCGGTGTGGTTTGTATTGATGAGTTCGACAAGATGAGCGATGTCGATCGTGTGGCTATCCACGAAGTCATGGAGCAGCAGACGGTCACCATTGCGAAGGCCGGTATTCACACGAGTTTGAACGCCCGATGCAGTGTCCTGGCCGCCGCCAATCCGATCTACGGACAATACGACCCCCACAAAGACCCCCACAAGAACATTGCCCTTCCGGACTCTCTTTTGTCGCGTTTCGATTTGCTCTTCGTCGTGACCGATGACATTGAGGATTCCAGGGACAGAATGGTGTCAGAGCACGTCCTCCGTATGCATCGCTACCGCCAGCCCGGTACTGAGGAGGGTGCTCCTGTCCGCGAACAGCTTCACCAAACGCTTGGTGTCGGCCTCGAGGATACACAGGACTCGAACCAGCCCACAGATGTTTACGAGAAGTTCAATGTCATGCTTCACGCCGGCATGGCCCACATGAGCCGGTCCAAGAGCAAGAACATTGAAATCTTGAGCATTCCCTTCATCAAGAAATACATTCAATACGCCAAGTCTCGTGTCAAGCCCGTCTTGACCAAGGGTGCCGCCGACCACATTGTCGCAACATATTCTGCTCTGAGAAACGACGAACTGTCTGGTAACCAGCGCAGAACATCGCCCATTACTGCTCGTACCTTGGAAACCTTGATCCGTCTATCCACCGCCCACGCCAAGTCACGCCTCTCCAACAGAGTCGAGGAGCGCGACGCCAAGGTCGCAGAGTCTATCCTCCGGTTCGCCATGTTCAAGGAAATCGTTGAAGATGAGCGCCGCAAGAGGAGAAAGGTCGCTTCGTTTGACGAAGATTCAGACAGTAGCGACTCTGACTCTGACGACGATAACACTCCTGCGCAAACATCCAGCGCCACCCCCAGATCATCCAGGAGAGGCGGTCTCCGATCCCGTGCAGCCAACGCTCGTTCCGCCACCAACGAGGACACAGAGATGGATGCGGACGGAGATGCTGTCTCCGAGGATGGCGATGGCTTGTACAATTCTAGTCCCCGCGGACAACGACTCCGCTCTAGCCAAACATCCCGCACGCAGACACAAACACAAAGCCAGTCCCGGATGTCTGTGGCTTCATCTCGACCCGCGTCACAGCTGGTCGAGTCCCAAACAGACAACTCGCAGTCGCAGAACACGACTGCTTCATCGGAGCCGATCCAGCCCGCTCGCTTGACGGTCTTCAGGCAAGCACTGGGTCCTCTGATGGGCACACGACTATTCACCCACGGTGACACCGCCGACGTCGAATCGCTTATCGGAGCCGTGAACACTGCGCTGCGCAACACGCCTTCCCTCGGCGAATCGCACGTCTTCCAGCGCGGGGAAGCTATCCAGGCCCTGAGGGCTATGAACGAGAGGAACGAATTAATGTATGCTCACTAACCATTGTCCCGGTAACATGACACAAGTGCTAATGACTTCTGCGAAACAGGTACCTTGAGGATGACGAAACCGTCTACAGAATCTAACCAAAAACAAACACAAAACCACTGGAACTCATTATACAACGTTATACGACCTAGAGAAATGGGATGGATACCATCACGCGCATGATTTTTCTTACACTTATGTTGCCTGAATACATATAACCTATTATTACGGATAGTTCGGCGTCTCGGAAACTGATCATCTATGTTACTTGGCTTCCAATCTTCTACTTCCTCCATGTGCATGCGTCTCTTTTTAATCGAAATGCCATCCATGTAATATTTCACAAACATCAATGTCTACAAATTACTTATCTACCCCAGCCCCGACTTTAGGACTTCCTTGATATAAAATGCTATGATATGATAGGCCGGGTTTTAGATTCCCAAGAGACTAAACTCAGATACTAGATAGACTACGGAGTTGGACTATAAACTATACTTCCTTTTTCAACCCCTCCCCTAGTCTCGTAGATAGCCCTTCCCTTTCATTGCTTTTTTTTCAATACTACAGCAGTTTGCCCCTTTATCATGCATACCCCTTACATCCGAGGCGCAGGAACAGGCCTGGATTTGAGTTTGCCCACTACGTACTTATATCACTTAGGCTAGGCTAGTCTGTCCCACTCACTACTCAGTGTATCTACTACACGGGAAGCGCTTGTACGCAGTACACCCCCCAAAAAATTCAAAAAGACAAGAGAAGAGAGGGAATCATATATGCATGCGTATATATTACTATCCAGACCAAGGACTAAGTAATCTGATTCTGATCTAATCTTTTTTCACAGATCCGCTTTGGAAAAGTGGAAATCATGTGATGCGACGCAGAAGATTTCAGTCACTCATTGACTAAGGGACGTAAGTTCAGTCGCATAGTTATACCATACCCCCTGATGCCAAAAACTCAAAAAGTAAAAGTAAATTGCACCATAAAGATGATAGAATATGAGGGGTATTAAAAAGAGAAGGAGTTAAATCGGAAAATGGGAAGAAAACAGAAACACCGAAATGTATAAGACAGAAATCGGCAAGGCATGGAAAAGGGAGAAGAGAAGAGAAGAGAAGAGAAGAGCTTTATTTCGACACACACCCTACGACGGCGGTAAGTACATCGAGATGAGATAGTATTTGTGTGTGTATGTGTGTAGTGTGCAATTCAGAGGGTATAATATTGGCAATGGACATACGGGGGATAATTGGTAGATTAGACCAGAAATTGGTGTTGGTTTGGGAGACCAAGGACCGGAGAAAGTTTCTATTCAGCACCATCTTCTTTGGGTTTCTCTTTTTCGCTGGGTGTGCCCATAAAGGAGGAATCGTCGGAGGAAAAGGATGGGGTGCGCACGCCCTCTCGGATTTGGGCCTGCGTCAAAGGAGACAGGCCACGAGTGGCGGCTTTGGATGCCTTCTTCTTTCGTGATTGCTGGATTTGTTGTTCTGTGCTTGGACTTGTGCTTCCGCGGCGGGGACGGCCACTGACGGATGACCTGGACGGGGGTCGGTCGTCAGTGTCAACGGGGGTAGTGCTGCGTGATGGCGTGCGGGAGTGGGATTCGGAGCGTGGTCCGCCGCGTCGCAAGGGCGACTTGGATTCATGGACGAGCTTTGAGATACTGGACGAATGGTGGTGGTGATGGGGACGATGTGGGATCTTGTCAGCATCGCCGGGTCGGCTGATCGTTGCGGCAGCGACTCGTCGGCGTTGCGACGCCTTCCAACTCAATCCGAACCACCAGAACCAGCCGCCGTCCTGCTGGGCGAGCTGACGCTCCCTTTGACGCAGCTTCTGGCGCAGCTGAGCACGACGATCATTTTCCTTATCCCAGAACTCGCTGCGGTATTCATCCCAATTTTCGCGAAACTCGGGCGAGAATGACTTCGGCAGTAGAAGAAGTCGAATGTAGTCCCCTCCCGGGCTGAGGTCTTCCTGTACCAGACCGGATTCCGCGTCGTGGTTGTAGTACTGCTGGTAGTGCTGCCGACTACCACGTCTTTCGGACGCAGGGCGCTCGACGTAGTGGAAATCGCCCACGGGGGACGGGAAAAAGGGTGCAGAGAAGGGGAAGAGAAAGGAGAGGTAGGAGAAGAGTTCCTGCCACCAGGGACCTCGGATGACCACGATCTTGGTGTTCATGGTGCGGAGGCCGCGGTTGGCTACGGCGAGCCAGCGCCGCGGCCAACGAACTCCCCGTTCCCATTGCCCTGTTCCCCAGACCAGAAGGGCTGTGACCACGCCACCCATCAGGGCGACCTTTTCCCCCATTTCGACCACCCAATAGACCGATCCTCCGACACCGCGGCCATCTTCGCGCGGGCGGAGAAAGAGCGCGTAGGCAAAGTAGGCGATCCAGGCGGCAAGCAAGAGAAGGAAGAACGTATTTTGTCGGCGGCGTTCCCGGAGAGCCAGGTATTGAGCTCGCAGAGAGCTCTCAAGAATGAGGAGATTGAGGTATATCTGGGGTGGGGAAGAGGGGAGGGTCGACAGTGGATCGGGAGTTGACGACCGTGGCGGGGAAGAGGGATCGCTAGAGGGAGCTTGGGAGTGAAATGCAGGCGCCAATGATTCGGAGGAGGATGTCGCAGAAGATGCAAGACGATTGTTGGGTGCTGGAGAGCCCTTGACCAGTTGGTCTAGGCTTGCTGAGGCCATGGTGAGCTCTGGAGTGGAAACCAGAGAAGAGGGAAAGGCGAGGAAGGGCCAGGGAGATCGGGTTCGTCAGGACGGAAAAGAATAGATGGACCAGAAGTGAGCTCCGAGGCTCAGATCGCAGAGGAATAATTCAATAACACGGAGGTGGATTTTTGGCCTTTGCGGCCCAGCGCTATCTCATCGCATGGAAGAAAAAAAAAAGAAGAGGTATCGAGGAAGACAGGAAAAAGGTATGGGGAGAGGGAGAGGGAGAAGGAGAGGACAAGAAAGAGTGAAGAAGCATCGTCATCCATTCATTCCAATCGGCCAACACTTGGTTGAGGCTCCACTTCCGCTGGACTTTCAGCTGTTCCTTTTCTCAACTTTCTGCCTTCTCCTCCTCCCCCTCTTTTGTTCCAATCTACTGCCTCTCTTTTGCATGCATGTGCTGTCTTTGACATTCAGAGTCTTTAATTGTGCAGGTTAGGTACTGCTGACTCATTTATCATCTTCAGCGTCATCATCTCTGGTTGCCTAACTCACAAACTTACCTTATTCCTTAACTCCATCTCAGATCGGGGTTAACGGTCTTAGGCGTTGTCCTCAACCGTTTCTTGTTTTGTACCACTGACCAGTTTCTTACTCTCTCCACTGCGCCCTCCTAAAAACAGAAGTTAATCTATTTTCCACTCGCTGTCTTTAAATACCCCCTTCTTCTCCGTGGCAGTCGAGAGAGTGACAGAGCTTTTCCCTCTGTCACTCCGTCTTTCCTGGCGACAAAGTGTCGATCGCGCGATTCCCTTCGCTTTCTTTTCAGGTCCCAGTCTCACGTTCCTGGACCTCGTTTGAAAGCGCTCGTTACATCTCCTCTTCTTCCCGACCGACGGAATCTAGACGCTCGTCGTCTACATCTACGATGGCCTCCGAGTCGCTCAACTCGCCCAGCGGCCAGTTCCGCGGCCGCAGCCAGGAACCCGTGGCTTCTGGCCGAGAGAGTACGCCACATGCAGCGCGCGGAGCCAGCGCAACGCCTCCCCCCTTGGCCTGGTTTCCCCTAGGCTACAGGGAAGGCTTTAGTCAATGGGTACGTTTCTTTACTGAGGAACAAAGTCAATTGTCGCATGGGTGACTGAGACTGGGTTTTCTTCCAGTGGGCGTCTTTACCCGCCGCCACAGCCGAACACAGAGTTCTTTCCCACCTCCCTTATCTCCAGCACCAACCCCCAACCCACCTCCAGACCGGTAAAACGAGCAATGTTTCCGGATGGACAGGCAGTCTCCAGTCCGCCGATCAAACCCAGCAGGGCGAGGTATCAGCCAGTTCTACCAATGACCCGTACGGCCCTCGAATGTGGCGCTCTAGCATGGTGGAGCTGAGCGGGAAGAATCGGGCTCTGAACGAGTTCTCAGTCGAGCGCATTGGTGAAGAAGCAGATCAACATCTGGTCATGCTCCATGGATACGGTGCTGGTCTGGGGTTCTTCTATAAAAATTTCGAGCCGCTTAGTCGCCTGAAAGGGTGGCAACTCCATGCGCTGGACCTCCTGGGCATGGGCCGCAGTACGCGACCGCCCTTTCGCATCAAGGCGAAGGAGCGTGAACAGGCCATCAAAGAGGCAGAGGCATGGTTCGTAGATGCGCTAGAAGAATGGCGAGTCAAGCGCAACATCGACCGTTTCACACTCCTCGGCCATAGTTTGGGAGGCTACATGGCCGTGGCATACGCTCTCAAATATCCGGGGCGACTTAACAAGCTTATCCTAGCTTCCCCCGTGGGAATCCCGGAGGATCCATATGCTGTGCGGGCAGAAATGCCTGCGCCAAACGAGTCGACTATGGCGAATGAGCTCACCCAAAACCAGCGCAATATCGCCGAATCCGCCTCTTCGGTTCCCCCCACTGAGCTTCAGAAGGGCGACAACAATATTCTGCTGAAGGGTTCCCCTACAAATAGTGGTGCTTCCCCAGACCAGCCGCCCCGGCGCATGGTTCCCAAGTGGTTCGCCTACCTTTGGGATGCCAACATCTCCCCCTTCAGTTTGGTGCGATGGGCGGGACCGCTTGGTCCGCGCCTGGTCTCCGGGTGGACATCCCGGCGCTTCTCCCATCTCCCGGCAGAGGAGGCCAAGGCTCTGCACGACTATTCGTATTCGATCTTCAGCATGCGCGGCAGCGGCGAGTACGCTCTATCGTACATTCTCGCCCCGGGCGCTTTCGCCCGCAGCCCGCTAATTCGCCGCATCGAGGGCGTCGGTCGTCAATACATCCAGCAAAACCCGTCCCCCGCATCTGCTGTCCTCGAGTCTGCGAAGGCCGCAGCTGCAACGACCACCTCCCAGTCTACTTTTGGATCTTCCTCTACCAATTCTGCCCCCTCCCAGCCCCCTTCAACGACACCTAAGCGCGAAAACGGTCTCCCCATCATCTTCATGTATGGTGACCACGACTGGATGGACGTGAAGGGCGGAATAGCCGCGAAGGCTAAGCTGGACCAAGAGAAGGAGCGTATCCTGCAGAACGCGACGGTAGAGGAACGCGAAACGGACAATGGCTCGGCCAAGGTGGTTATCATCAAGAGGGCAGGCCATCATATCTATCTAGACGGATGGGAAGAATTTAACCGGATCGTCTTGGCTGAGATGGAGCAGGTGGCTGAGAAGGAGAGAGCTAATCGATCTTCATAGAGCTCTGCATTTCTATGCAGTCTAGTCTGACCAAAACAGAGGTCAGAACTTTCATTTTGTTTCAAGAGGTGTTCATGATGTGTTGGGTCACTAAATAGCGGGATTTGTTCTTTTGTTTTCTTCTGGAATCAGTAAATACATGATGAGTTCGTTTCTTCATAGATCGGGCGATGTCTCAAAGGGTATCTGTCGATCATGGACTACGTGGAATGTAAATACCTTAACGGTAGAAGTAGGAATGTGAAAAGATAGCATCAAAATATAGAAGTAGAAGAAGATTCGTGTGTCATGATTCGTAAATCGTTTAGGAAATTGTAAACCTAACCCCGTCATATCCAGTCGGAAAATACTACTTAGATAGCACATTATCCAGACATTCCACAAAACAACACCACCAAACGAGCGTGTACATGACCATAATCACAATCAAAACGATCAGTTACAACGCCCGCTCCGTCCCTGACGACGCCCTGGTCAACTTCACCCCACTATTCGGCCCCGACATACTTCTCCTTCGATATCTCACGCCAGCCGGGTAATGGATCATAGACTTGGCCGATGGTCTCGGCGATCGTCGCTCTTCACCTGGTGTCGTTGACCCGCTCGTGCTGCTTGTGCTACCGGGTCGCAAGGAGAAATATCCCCCTAATCCATCAGTAGGGCTCGATACCCGAGGGATCGATGCGCTTGGAAACCTCTCGGTAGGTGAGGGGGTGCAGAAGAGCGTATTTCTGTGATTTTGTTGTTGTGATAGTGGTGGTGAGGTAGCCCTACGTTGCGGATGATCTAGAGCATCCGGCAATGAAGATTTCGGGGACAGGCTAGTGGATAGTAAGGAGGTGGTTGCGGAGCGATGGTGATGGCGGGTGATATTGGTAATGCCTCCGGGGGGAGGGCTGGTTGAAGCCATTTGTCGATGTCTCCAGGGGAGGGCTTCGAAGGGTTCACTGTTGGCGCTGCTGCTGTTGCTGTTGTTTCGGATGGATAAAAGTGGCTGAGAGGGAAGTTCTAGTCGCTCGTTGATGGATAGCCATGCTCTTTCGTCGTGGTCGGTACTGGTGAGATTTGGTGAGGGGGAGGCGGTGTCTGAGAGGAGAGGATGGCCTGGATATCTTGTCGTTGTGGCGGTGGTGGTGGTAGTGGTTGCTGTTGTTGCTGCTGCTGTGGTTGCACAGCGCCAGCCACCTAGACCTTCGAAGTCGCGGCCTTCGTCGCCACTGATGAGTGTTAGGAGGGCAGAGGAGGCGGAGTGGCGGGGGGGTGTGTTTCTTGGGGCTTCATCTTTGCGATAGAGTGGAGCAGTGCTGGTGTCTTGGGTCGAGGAGGTGGAGGCTGTAGTGGTCAAACTGTTTGTTCGACGAGGAGCATTGTAGCCTGGACGGTATGTTGCGAGTGCAGTGAGGAGTCCGTTGTTTAAGCTGTGGTCGACGGAGCGACGCTTGGGTGTCGTGGAGGCTGCTGGAGTGGTGGGCTCAGATGCGGAGAAGTTGAGGAGGGAGGTGTTGGCGGCTGTTGGGATGACAAAGTAGTTTGTGATTAGGGCAAGACATAGTTCGATATATATGACAGAGAAGCGGAGGATAAGAAATACGATGGAAAGGAAGGTGGTGAAGCATGCGAACAGGGCGAGAGGGAGGGAGAAGAGAGTGAGGAGGGGAAGAGTCAAGAAGGCGGAGATGGAGGACATGAAGATGAGGGGAGGAGGGCGGCTATGGAGTGGGCTATAGAAGATGGAAGGAGGATATTGAATACGTGGAAATGTTTGTTTTCTTACTAGATATATGAGAAGCAAGTGGCATGACTATAGTAGGAAGGCATAGTTCTGCAGTGTCCATGCAGGGAATATAGCAAGCATGATTGCATCCCCAGATTTACAATGCGGAGAAGCAGACAATGAAGAAGCATGTGATGCTCCATATCCGCTGTCTGCCCCAGGCATCAATACACCGCGTATCACGTTCGTATCGGTGGGCTTTTCCTTACGTCACAGCTTCGCTTTCCATTCATTCATCACTCATCGTTTGTCAATCAACACATACCCAAGCTACCTCTGGAAACATTATTCTTTTTGCCTTGACACTCGAACTCCTCATCGGCTTTTTGGCATTTCCATTTTACATGCACCATGTCGGAGGCCAATCCGAATGATGCATTCCCATGGCACTTGGGGGTGTTTGACGCCCATTGTCACCCCACTGACACCATGTCATCCATTGCGGAAATCCCCCAGATGAAAGTATCGACATTGACAGTCATGTCCACTCGCGGAGAGGACCAAGACTTGGTGCTTCAGACCGCCACATCCTTGACCCAGGGTCAGGAGTCCGCCCAAAGTTCGACAACAGGGCCTGTGCTTCCGTGCTTTGGCTGGCACCCATGGTTCTCGCATCAAATCATCGACGATGTAACTGGTTCACCCGATACCAACGAAACTACCTCACCAATTGAGCGGAAGAAGCTGCACTATAAAAAGGTCCTTACTCCAGAGCCAGATGATGACTTCATCCTGTCGTTGCCTGATCCGAAGCCGCTGTCAGAGTTGCTGTCGGAATCTCGAGCACGGTTGCTGGCGTATCCCCATTCTCTTGTGGGTGAGATTGGCCTTGATCGTGCTTTTAGGCTTCCCAAGGCGTGGACCGAGGAGGAAAAAGAAACTCGGGATGAGCGAATGACCACCGGGTCGCGCGAAGGTAGACAGCTCTCGCCGTATCGTGTTCAGTTGGCGCATCAAAAAGCCGTTTTGGAGGCGCAGTTGCGCCTAGCTGGAGAACTTCAACGACCAGTTTCTGTGCATAGCGTTCAAGCTCATGGGGCGGTCTTTGACCTCTTCAAGGCCCTCTGGTCTGGGCATGAGCGGAAGAGCGCCTCACGGCGGGAGAGACGCCGACGATATAGCGTTACAGATGCGCATGCAGAGAGCGACGCAGAGGACGAACGAAAGCAACAGGAACCTGCAAAACCAGAAGAAAAGTCTCTACCATTCCCACCACGGATCTGCATGCATTCTTACTCCGGACCGGTGGAGCCATTGAAGCAATTCCTGCATCAATCCAATCCATCAGACGTCTATTTCTCCTTCTCTTCTGTGATAAACTTCGGTGGGCCTTCGTCAAAGAAGGTCATCGACGTTATCAAGGCTTTGCCTGATGATAGGGTACTCATTGAGAGCGATCTGCATACGGCGGGGCAACAAATGGATGACTTGCTTGAGGAAATCGCTCGACAGATCTGCGATATCCGCGGGTGGGATTTACATCAAGGCGTTCAACAGCTCGCTGAAAACTGGAAAAGGTTCGTTTTTGGATGATACATCCAACTGCGGGATATCAGGCACATGCAAGGCTATTATTCCAGAGCCGGAATGCGTACACAATCGCATACTGAAAGATTTGTGTTGTGCCAGCGATATGAAGGTATGGAAGCAACGCAACATTCAAACTCAATAGTGCTGGACCATCACGCTAACTTCCCAAACTAGCAAGCATTCGAACCCAAATTAGTTGGAATACTCCGTTTCGCCAGGATGTCTAGAAGCACTCGTATGAAATTGCGTCTAGACAATGGAGAAACGACGTTTACGTTATTATAGACCAACCCAAAAAGAAGACAGAAAAGAAAAGGATATGCTAGAGACGCCGTCGGTGTAGCCCTCCTATTTTACATGGTTATTTGTATTATCAGCACCACCTGACTCTGGCGTCACACTTTCGTACACAATGGTGATGTTATCTGTACGACGGATGTGCCCCATATAATGGCTCTCGTCCCCGTGATCGTCAACTGTCTGCAGAATGCTATCCTGGCTGCCAACATCTGCGACCATCATATTGCTCTTGCTTTTCCGGTGTGCGGACCGCTTGCTGCTCCACTTGTTGGACTCGGGCAGTTGTGTACTACTCTCTTTGTACTGATATCTGCTGGTACTTCTCAGACTGCGCTTTCCGAGAATTATTTCGAGAAGCGGTTGTAACGTGGGGATACATGAGGCTAGGATCACGACGTTTGATTCGATACTGTCGAGAATATTGTCAATGTCCGGGATTTCCTCTCAACAACGGCTTGGTGCCACAGAGTAACACATATTGGCTTACCTTGTCCAGATCACAAGATCTGCTGTGGCATCTGCTATAGTGTCAGTCGGACTCCGGTCACACGGCGTTTTGTCAAAAGCAACTTACATGTCGTATCGCTGAGATCAGCAAGGCCCGGTAGCTGCATGCACTTAATTATTGCCATTGCGCAAGCTCTATTTTCGTGTTTGTTAGCGAATACTGATGACGATGAGCTCTCTGAGTTCTTGCTTACACCGCACTCAGGCCCAACGCTGCGCACAATGCCAATCGTTTCCGCAGCGACATATTGAGTTTCAGCAAAATGATTGTCGGATAAATTGCCAAATAGAGATCCGTAAAAGCAGATACGGCTATGGTTGATTAAGCTCGGCTTCATTCAGTTAGGGTCGCACCTACCTCCAGTGAAGATGGCATAGTCCACAAGGATCCACGAGCTCCGGCAATGTGCGCCCTTCGACAGAAGAGACGTGTCCCAAAGAGCTCTCGCTGGATCGCACATGGTAAAGAGCACCAAGATGCAAATGCACGACACCAGTGCCACGAACCCCGTCAGCCCCCACAAGATTGCACGTTGTATAGTTGTCGGATTCAGAAAACGGCTCAGCAGGGCTGCCACGGCTAATTTGGGTAAGGCGAAGGATATTATACCCAAGGCGAAGTTGATATAGTTGACTAGCAAAACGAGTTCTAGTCTATCTGCTATGACGATTGCATGTTTTCCGTAACCTAGAGCGACGTCGACCGTTGTTACTACAGAATATGATATGCTGAAAACCTAAAATGATCGTCAGACTTTACGGCAAAAGGACAATTGTGGCAGTCGGACCTGAGGAAAAGCGTAATTGACTCACCATTGACGCTGCGATCAGCCAGTCATCTGCACCTGGGTTGCGCAAGACTTTAATACGGATGAAGAGCCTGGCTGCCACAGCTAGAATTGCAAGACTGGTCATGGCCCAAAAGACAGCCAAAATTCGTGGGCCCTTAGTCTGGTGGGCATATTCTGGAGATACAGCAGCCATCGCTTCGTATCCAGCATCCACAGCTTTGGTTGGACATGGATGAGTCGAATGCCGCAAACATCAAACAGTCCTCCGTTGATGTGAATCCAGCAAAATGTTCAATTCGCGACTCAGGCTATCCAGAGATTCATCTAAGGGGTTTACGCACAGTCCTTTCATTGTACTTTGACAGGATTTGCTTTTCCTCTAGTGTCAATTAGTTCACCAGCTGTGCAACATAATCCCTGTCTCTTCGAAGGCCGATTACGGACCATCTCGTGCATCCGAAGTCGCTTTAGAGTTGCATGGAGAATCTTTTGCCTCCAACCTTTATATTATTCTGCTCTAGGCTCTGGAGTCGAGACGCCTAGATCCAGAGTAATGTACATTTCTAAAATTCTGGGCAGGAACAATGTGCGATCTACTACTACCTGACACAGACGACAGCATCGAAGCCGTCCAAGAAATCCCCGGGCAAGCAAACCAATAGCGGCACAGAAACGTGGCACCATCATAAACATCATTCAATGATGTGAAATCACTTTTGGCCTAGAGCTGAGCCTCGATCATATTGTCGGCCGAGGTAAGATGCCCGACATTCCAGGGTTCAACACACTGTCCGTGTTGGAATAAGCAGGAGACGGTCATTGCTAGATCGAGATTAGTGGATTGAACGCTACTGCGGAATAGTTGGGATCGCTCAAGGAAGGCAAAGAGCACATGAAATGAACAGGTCCCAATATTAACCGAGCTTCTTGACTTTCCCACAGTTCCGACTTCCGAACGAGCTTCTGCCTGGAGTCCGGTTCCACCAGCGACGGCGCCGGCGCCGGCGTCACGCACCATCTCACACCGTTCTATCCCTAGCGTACTATAGTGCAATGCCTTAGTGAGTTACGTACGCTGCTTTCTTTGTCCTTTTGGACGCCACTGCCCGCAATTTAGATTGGTAATAGAAATTGCTGCTATACATTCAAGTATTTCCAGCTAATTGGTGATTTTAGAGATTGCAATTCTCCCTTGAGATAGACGATCAAAGGATAGGGCTTGTGTGCAACTTCAAAGCACTCCCAAATGAGTACATGTGGCTGAATGTCACTTTCCCCTACAGCAACATTTAAGGCTGAACGTCATGAGCCTATGTTGCTTGTCTTACCTAGACAATCCACCACGTTCTTGGCACCGCAGAGTTCCCCCAACAGCCAAGTACACCGTCGCTACAGGGTCGTACCATAGTGCTAACAATTAACCATCTCCTATTGATAACAAATCATCCATCGGATGTCCCACTTTAAACTAGTAACACAAGGGCAGTTCAAAAGTACGATGCAGGCCCGGGCTTATGGATGTCAATGGCGCGGAGTGTGGTGTCATGCGCTATACGAGTATCCCTGCAAGCCAGCAGTGCGGTTTGCGCGGTGATAATTAATTGAAAGCAACCCTTGTCCGTCTCAGGGGTACCTCTGCTTTTCTTACTGAGACACGGATGCTTCTAACAGCACTACATAGACGAACTTTACTACGCTCACTGAAACGCGTCGCACAAGTATAATCATTTCGCTGATGCCAGCTACTCCTGGCTCAAGATGAATGAATTACCCATGGTCCTTCGATTCTTGGGATTGTGTAGGATCTATTGGTATGAACCCTTGTACTTATACGGTACCTATATCTCGCGAATCCCGTGTGGTGCCTGTTAATTGAGATAGATTAGTCCCAGAATACGGCGCAGCAGTGGCACTTTATAAACGTGCGCTAGATGCTCTTGGTGCGAAGCCGTCGGGGCCGGACTCTATCTCATGAGCGGACGCCCGTCCTCGAACCCCCACTATCTCTGATTAAATACTGCTATTTCCGTGACCTTATTAGTGAGAGTGCCGCACTAAGAAGCTAGGCTATCTAGTCTCGAACCCCCACCAGAAATCGGCGGAGAGACTAATACAATGTCATATTGCCGCTGCCACCTAACTCGTGCGAAACCTCTAAACTAGTTATCCGTTCCAAACCACCATGTCTAGTTACCCACGGTGCCAGCTAATCACAGAGAGAACATGGAGAAGGAGCTCCGTATACCCTGCCTGTTCTTTGCCATTGCATCTAGCGATATGAAGCCTGCGTTAATGTAGCACGCGTCTTTGACCTAGCCGGACCATTGGTATGAACTTTCATTATCTGCTAATGACAGTACAACCAACCAACCAGGGTCATTACTACCCCTCTCCAAGGAGTGGAGTCTATTAAGACGTCGCCGTTACATTAGCGGCCCTACTGCAGGTCGCCAGAGTGGGCAGACTTGAGATAAATGACCAATGGAGGTTGCAGCAGTATCAGGCTTGTCTCCTTGATTTACATCCTCGGTGGGCACGGAAGGGAATGGAGGCTAACTATGTTAATCTAAGTAGCATAAAGTATTCTAGTGCAGGCTATATTGTAATGCTATAGAAGCGCGCAAGGCGAGAAGCCTACACAGGCTGCCCCATCCGTCTGGCTGCCGACCCATATTAAGTCGTAGAAGGCGCCATTCAAACGGACATCTTGCTTAGACCTTGTAACTCGCTCCGAAAGCATACCCAAAATAACCACAAAATGCCTCATAAAAACGGCTCAACGGTCACTGAGCATTATACCAATGGGGATCGCACCAATGGTCATCACACCAATGAACACCATACGAAAGGCACTCATTCCAACGGCCATGTCCCGTCCGAGTCGAACGTGAGCGTGGACACGATTGCCATTTCACCAAATGCACCAGACGCCGTTCCGGCTCTTATCGACCAGATCGCATCCCACAAATCCATCTCTCTGGAGGATTCACAAGAAAGACTAAGACTGCGAGATGCTGCGAGAGCCTTGGCGAATGCGCTGGAGACCCCGCGAGAAGCGATTGTTAGACAGTGCTGGACTACAGTAAGTCCTGCCTATTACTTGAATTTTTAAGAAATGCTTTGCGATGTGTATGCTCGCTGAGATCTGACGAACGGTTTCTGCTGTAGGCTACTCTGCACGCTGCTATTGAAACAGCTCTAGCTGTAGGTGTGTTCAGCGAATTATCCCAGGACAAGCCCAAGTCTGTCGCAGAGCTTGCGGTGACTACACAGAGTGATCCGGTCTTGTTGTGTAAGTATTCACTAATCTACTTGCAAATCTGGCATGTAATTCTCAGGTCGAGTTGTTGGTTCACTTACGCCTCCCAGCGCGCATCATGAAGCATCTGGCATCTATGAACGTAATCACTGAAGCGGGACCGGACGAGTACATCGCAACGAATCTCTCGATCACACTGAGTGTGGAGCGATATGGAGATGCTTTCCCTGCCCTGTGAGTGACACCCAGGGTGCTAATGAAAAGG